CACATGCACACACATTAATCTTTTAGGATTATTTTGGGGGCTTGGTTGTTTTAGCTTTTCAATTTTCACTCGTGAGACCAAGTAACTTTGGATTTTCTGACCATCATTTCTTGATTTTGCAAAGTAGTGTATTAAATTTGATATATCTTATATGGTGCTTTGATGGATTTCTTTCTTCGACACAGGAGATTATATATGTGCCTTCAGAGTTTACTTTCGGTACCTAATATTAACATTGCTGTCTCTTATTTATCCTCACTGAAAAGGTTCTATTTGCTCGCAGCCATTCGCAAACCATAACGGTTCCTATCAGTTGGGAAGCATTGATTAAGTTAGTGCAATGGTTCTATGGTAGTGAGCTGCCAAATCCTCCCTTTGGATGTTTGTGGGACAATATGGACATCAAGGAAAGGCTATATGAGCTGAAACCTTACGTAGAACTTTACTGGTTGGCTGAATTTTGGATTTTGGAAGATGTTCAAGATGCATGCTTCAGAATAGTTGTATCTTGCTTGGATTCTGATAGGCAATTGTCTGTTGAAGTTATTAAACTTGCAGCTAATTTCTCTCTATGGAAGCTAGTTGAGGTAGCAGCAGAGTACATGGCCCCCCTTTATCATAAACTACGGGACACTGGTGATCTTGAAGAACTTGATGAACTGCTAGTTGATTTGGTTCGTGATGCTTCTGTTAGGCTTTCTCAAGAGCGTGGTAATTTGTCTGGATGATATTGTCTATATCCACGTAATTCTGTCAACTATTAGTGTAAGATGCCTTGAAACCATTTCTCATACTTCCAATGTCATGGAATAGCAGATACGGATGTCCTTGGATCTACTTGGAGAATTTACATACTCGCCCACATAATTTTATATTCTATAATTAACCAATAGAAAAGAAAAAACATGGAAGAGTCATAGAGCCACAACCTTTTGGATCCGTAACTCAGGTCTTTCTAAGCTAGAAATGGTTCAAGTGTTAATTTGGTAAATATTTCTTAATTATGATTGATTTACTTACTGCTAAGGTGAAATTTTGAGGATGTGATTCATTAGAAGGGAGGTATTGAAGGTGAGTTATTTGGTAAATAGTTCCTTAGTATTTGCTATATATTTGTTCTAAGCAGCCTTTTTATCAAGGCTGGGAAGCTTTTCTTGTTTATGTTGTTGTACAAGAAGTAAGAACTATGATAGAATGATGTTCCTATTGTTGGAGAATTTGTATGTGTATTTTCTACCGAACCACCCTGTCTTGCCACTTGAATGTAAAATTGAGTTTGTCATTGACTTGATGCCAGGTAGTGCACCGTTTTATGTATTGGTTGTAGACAATTGAGTTGGATAATAAGTATCCGTTGTTAAGGATTTGATTTATTTGATTGTACAAAGGATAGTAGTGTTTTTCTTTGAATTCAACCTTTTGAGAAGCGATATGTAGTATGAGCTAAGGATGAAAAGTAGAAAGCTATGCCATTTTTATCTGTTTTGATTGCTTTAACAACCATGATTGAGACAATCAGTAAAGACTGTTGCTCCAAGTCCATTAAACACCACGGACATGATTCCACATCTATTGCATTCTCCAGGCCAAGTGTACCTTCCAATCAGCAATTGTCTTTGTACTTTGGACAAAATCCCATTTTGATCTTCGGTCGCAATGAGCAATGGCTACTAGTCGTAGGCGATTGGAAGATGGTGTTAAATCCGACAGCCGCATGGCTTTAGCTCAAGTTGTTGGATTAACTATGTCATCCAATCCATCTCAGGATTCGAACTCGAATTTTGACATGGAATTTCATATCCAATCCATCTCAAGATTGAGCTATACAATGAAGGCACTTCTCTTCTATCAAATAAATTCCATTTCATCTATCTCAGGATTGAAACTTGAGTTCCAGGAAAAAATTAACATCTAACTATTAGGGTGTTCCTTTGGAGGGCGAACTATATGAACAGAAAAATGGTTCTGGGGAATGGAATAGCTCTGGTTCTTGGCTGAAATCAATAGGGTTTAATTTTCCACAATTAGTGCTTCAACCTATTGAAGTAACTATAGGGATAAGATGCCTCTCAATCTCAGAAGACCATAGTGGCAAACAACAATAATTCTGTCTCAATCTAAGGTCATGTTATTTATGTTGATGACATGAAATGTTCAGGATTGATAAAGACGCTCCGTCTCGAGCCAACCAGCTCTTCCTTTGGTGGTAACCAGCACAGTATCTGTAAAGCTCCCAATCCAGTGGTCTTCTCGCCTAAAGAACATCATACCTGTTAAAACTTGAGTGTTGAGATTCCGATTTGTAGATAATCCCATCATTAGATTTATAAAGGAAAAGGGAAGAAAGGAGCAATTAATAGATCTCTCTCCTTACATTCCCCTATCTCCACCTCAGGTCATTTCCAACATTTAGCATTCCATAAGCGTATCAAGTTAAAGAAGAAACGTGTTGGGACATGCTGGTCTTCAAGCAGGCACGGTTATGAACAAAGCTGACAACACTTCATATTCAGATACAGTCCAACAATCCTTGTAATAATTCTCAAAAAGGTACAATCCACTAAGTTATCATTGTAGGAAAATTAAGATGTCACATTTTAAAGAGGAAATTGCGAGGAATAACTCTCTCCTGATAAGATAATTTTTTAAAAAAATTATTAAAATAAATTTAACTGTTTTTAATCAAAGTTAGGCATAAGTTGAAAAAAATGCTTTTGAAAATATTTCAAATAAATTAAACTATTCATCACAAGTTCTCTCTATCTTTGTCTGTTTTCAATTTCCCTCTCTCACCATCTAGCTTTTTTTTATTTTATCGATTTTTCTTTTCGACATCCGTTTGCTATGCTCTTGATTTTCAAGATACCAAGCAATGATTTTGATGCAATTGAGGTGAGTGACTATTCGAAAATTTTAATTTTTAGGTGTTTTTGATAAAACTAAAACAATAGAAATGGTCACAGATGTTTGAACTAACTTTTAATTAGATTAATTTGAGGTCTAAAAACAAATAAACTCAATAATTTGAAGTTTATAAACCTAAGATGTCAAAGGAAATTTTTTTCGATTCTTAGCTGAAACAGGTGTTTTAGATAAAAAAAATTGTATTTTGATTTATGAAAACATGTTAAAACACTTTATTCGATACCAAATTATCAAAAAAAAAAATGAAATGAAAAGAGTTGAGAGAATTTGAAGTTTTGGTTCGCAAGCAACAACAATATTTTAAGTATTAAAGTATAATAAAATTTTTTTAAATATAACATGTAATAATAATATTTTTTTTAACATGATGTGTAATAATAACATTTTTTTCAACATAACTTGTAACATATTTTTGTATATGATGTGTAACAATAATATTTTTTTTAACATGATATAGAACAACTTTTTTTAACCATAACGTATAACATGTTTTTGTACATGATGTGTAATAATATATTTTTTTCAATATGACGTATAATAATATTTTTTAACATGTGTAATATATTTTTATATATGATATATAATAATAATATTTTTTTAACATAACGTATAACATCAACTGCACTAGAATATAAATAAGTTTTATTAAAAATAATTTTATCTAATTTTATTCAAAACAATTAAAATTATAAAAAAAATTATTTTTTAAAATATTTTATTTTTAAAGATTATTTTTAATAATTAAAAATTTGACCTTAACTTATAAGTAAGGGTATGCCTCTTTCCTTATAAGATGTCCTTTCTTAACCGAACACGACAGGTTTCAAAGTGAACAATACCTTGAACAATACCTTGAAGTTTGAAGCAATCCGTTAACCCCTGCATGAGCTGATAACTTCGTCTTCGTCTGCGTGGCCCTTGGAACAAGCACAATTCACCCCTTGACTGGGGGCTAGTGTTGGGAGGCGACTGATCACA